TGATTTTTCTCTTAATTTTTAAAAAATAAAAAGATAAACACTATACTATATATTTATTTCTTTTTAAGAATTTGGCTATTTATTAATTTATTTTTATGGGTTCGGCTTCGTCAATGATGTGTTTAATTTGTGACATGTGTTCCGAAGTAGAGAGGGGGTCGGTGGTGGATGTCGACTTAATGAGACTTTCCGTCCACGCAAAGAAGCTGTCCCCTTGTTGTGGAAATATCAAATGTTGTAAGAGAATTTCATATTGCGTGGCAAAATTTTTGTATTTAAAATGTAGTAAAAAATATGTGTTTAAATATAATTATAATAATTTTATTTATTATCAATTAATTTTAAATTAAATATGAATTTTATGTTAAATCTCTCACGTTAATTTTTACAAAAATATTAAAATGTTTTTTAATAAAATATATAATAAAAACATTTAAATACTTTTCCCAGACTATATTTATATATATATCATTAAGTAGTTTCCAATTCAAAGTCATTGAAACTGACAATTCACCTTGGTCTCATTCTTTATCATTTGATTAATCTGGAATTTCCACGAATGTTAGTGCCTAAATGATGATAGTTAGGCTGTGTTGACTTTCTATTGGTTTCTTTTTTTTTAATTTGCTACTATTTGAGGCAGGCACCATTGGAACATTCAACGTTTCATTACAAAACGTACCCACCGCCTCGTCTTTGCAGAATTATACAAGTTTGAACCAGATAGTGGAACTGGCCGCTTTTTTTGTCTTCTCATTTTTAGCCGAAACTTCAAAGCAAGGTTCTTAGAGCATGTGCGTGAGACACCCTGCCTTCTAGCTTTTAACTTTCCTAGCATTCTGTTTCATTGTTTCTGTTGATGTTTTTCTTTTAGGTTTCGTGTTTCTCTTTCTTGTTTTTAGCCGAGAAATAACGTCGTTTTTGGCCTCAGAGGCAGCAAAAATTGACTCTGTCATTCTTTCTGTTGTTCTAGTTGAGAAAAGTCGTTGTTTTGGTCTCTTTTGGGGCAAAAAAAAAAAAAAAATGTTGACTGAGCTTGTTTTTCTGGAAAAGACAAGCTCAGTAAAAGAACACACTCCAATACTTAAAAGTTTTGTCTCTTTTCTCTTTTGAGAAAGAAAAATGGGAGATACTTGCTCTAACTTGCGAAATAAAAATTGTTTGCAAAATATGGAAAAAGAAAAAAAAGGGAAACTTAGAACCACTACTATTAATTTATTCCGCTTGTCCTCTTATTCTCTTCTTGGCTTTAAATATGCTATTTTGCTATATACAAATAAAGAAAACATTATACCCACAAGCGGGTGGATGAGTTAATAAAAAACTTTTTCAATTTAATTAGAGATTTTGGTTTCAAATCTTAAAAATACAGCTCTATTAAAACTCGTGAGTGAGAGTTTTGCCGCTCATTAAGTCTTGCCTGACTCGAATCTGAATTAATCGGTAACTCAATAAACTTTTAGATATCGGATGATCCAAACAAAAAAATAAATAAATAAATAAATAAAACATTACTATACTAAAGGCGTTGTGCCTTGGTTACCAAGGGAATCCACTTTCCATTCAATTGATATTTGAATCTTAGTCAAAATTAATAAATGGTATTTTATAGCGAATGTTTTAAATTTAACATGAATAAATGATTTTATTGTAGCTTAATTGACAAGAAAGTTTTTCCCACGTCTTTTTGACTAAAATTCAATTTCTAAGAGTTGCTTAAAAAGAGAATGTGATTCTTCGAGAATCTCTTACTTTCACACTCATGGCCTCCCATTAACTCAAACAAGTGCAGCACAAAAGTAGTACTGCTACATTTGTCAAGTGGAATACAGAGAAATGACAACGTTTCTATCATTTGATTAGGAAACTATCAAATTGTGCCTAGAATAATTTGGATCCCCTAATCTTTTAACTCAATATTGTTTGGACAGAGCACTAATGACTGTCTTCGAATAGACACCTCATATTTTCCCGATATTTTATTAAGCAAGTGGTGTCCAAAATAGAGGTTCAAGGATTTTATCTTCTTCCATCAGAAGGAAAAAAAGAAAAAAGAAAAAAAGAGGAACCAATCGTCGGGGAAAACAGGCTTGACCAGATATTTAAGAAACTTTAGTCCTGTATGGCTAGGTGTCATGAACTAGGTTTTCAGTTTTGAGCGAGGATATCAATATCAGGTTCAGAAAGCAATAGGGCTTAAAAGTACCTCGTTTGGATGGGGTCATGAATTCTTGCAAGTAGTTGATGATAAGTAGGAAAAAAGTACCAAGAAATGCCAATTATCTTAGGTATAATTATTATCATTATTAATATTGTTAAAATTATTAATCTTTTAATTTTTTAATAATATTTGAAAATATTAATTTGTTGATTGATTTTAATTTATTAATTAATAAATATTAATTATTAGTTAATAATTATAATGATTAATTATTTTTATTATTTAAATTAAATAAAATTAATATTTTTGAAGACAATATTTTATAATTTTGGTGGCTATAACTGTGCCTAACTATCTCACGAAAGAAAATAAAATGAAGAATAAAGGCGCTAACATCAGGAAATTGGCACTGTACTTGGAGTCTTGGACAGCTAAATTATGCTTCCGAGTCTTGTTGTTCACTTAACATTAAGGGCTGTTTGGTTAGTTTTCCAGGCCAGACTGAGTTGTTGGGAGGATTGTTGAGCCTGACGGATTGGGCTGGAAAGTTGTGTAAGGTTTTTGTGTTTGGTTGCTTCTAAGAAATATGATTTTTTGATGATCATAGTCAACCATATAAAAAATATAGTTGGTTATGCATCTTTTGATTTTGATATAATTGGTATAATATAATCATAATCAGTTACAAATTAATATATAATTAATTATAAATCAAAATACAATGTGATTTATAATTTATTACAAATTAAAATCTAACTGGTTATACAAATCTCAACTAATTTGTTATTTGATAACATAATTGATTTAACCTAAAATAAAATGGGTTATACAAACTTAAACTAATTGATCATTTAATAACATAACCAACTATGTGAATAAATAAAGCAAAATAAATTGATTTATAATCCATTTCAACTAAAATATAATTCATTATACATTTAGAATAATTGGTTATTTTGTTAACATGATCAACTATATAGAGATATAACCAATCACAAAATATATAGAAATGATCAATAATATGAATTTTCTAGATACAGATATAACCAATTACAAGAGTAATGTAATTAATTATAAAAGCTCAAAAACGTCAGAAAGTTTTCTTTCAATGTTTTTTTTTTTTTGGGAAGGACTTTTTGAAAAAATTCCAAAAACATTTTCCAAGACAATTAACTGTCCTAGTTGCCAAGCACTAACAAGTGTTGTTGAGTTGCAATGATCTAAGAAGAATCCTAGGAATATATGTTGCCTAACCAAACACGCCCTAAAACTTTCCTAAGAAGGTTTGATTGCCAAGCACTAGCTAGTGTTGTTGGATTGCAATAATTCTAGAAGAATCTTAAAAATGTTGCCTACCTAAACACACCCTAATGCTCTCTTGACCCTTTCCTCCCAACCTTATTTTCCGTTTCATATCTTTATTTGATGAGAGGTGTCATCCCCTCGTGGCAACTCAAAAGGGAGAAAATAGAGGCTCTTAATTATTCATGTAAACCTAGAAGTTATACCATTCCACACAGGATAATAGAACATTTGGGTAAATCTGATTCGGAAATTTCTATGACAAAACAAACAATTAAAAAGAAACAGTTGCTAAAATCATTCTTCTATAGTCAGAAGTAGGATCATACACGATGATATGGAATGTGCAAAAAGATAGTTAAGTCCTGGTTGTGATTGCTGGTAGCATTCAAAATAACTAGTTTGCGTAAAAACGCAGGTATATACCTTAGGGGGTTAGGGGCATGCATTATACATCAACAATTCTGAAGACAAAGAAGCAAAAACCATTACATTTTGACTGTGAACTGAATCCTTCTGGCATGATAGGCAGACTTAAACAATCACATAGACAGGTCCTGTAACAGGAATTCTTCTGTCATTCCTTGAACAATCATCTCCTTGAATGCTCCTTTGAGTAGAGTCAAATGGCCAGCAATATTAATCTGAAGCAACATAACATTTGCTACATCAGAAATACCTCTCATCTTCACTATCCTCTAAAAAGTAATCTTCATTCACATTCTCTGTTCCCCACTCTTCATCTTCCTCCCCTCCTGAAAACACTGAAATCCTCATGCCACCAAATTCAGTCCTTCCAACTACAAGCTCATCCAATACAATATTCATATCCTCCACCTCCACCCCATCCAGCTCCCTATCAAAACCTGAAACTGAAAACCATCCATCATGTGGGTTTAGAAACGAACCCAAACTTGGATTTAAGGTTTTTGTGGAAATTGATAAAGAAAGAATGAGAGAAATTAAGTTCGGGTTTATGTAAAGCACATGGGTTTAGAGATAAACTGTCAAAGGAATTGCAGAGAGAGTTCATTGCTTCATTCAATTTTTGTAGGATGTTTCGTTTAAGGAGAGAGAGGAGGGGACGAGAGGAGAGGGAAATAAAGAGACACAGTACAACATCCATATCCCAAACATACAATTAGAGTTGCAGAGAGGAGGCCGCAGAAAAGATATTGCCATATTGGGATGGAGGAAGCTGGAAATAACCTCGGCGTCAGGCCTTTTAATGCTAATTTTAAGACTTATTTTTCATTCTCTCAATGAATTTATAGTTAAACATTTGGTTTTTTTTTTTTTTTTTGCAATCTTGCTTTTAAATCGTTCAATTTCTTCTTTTTTTTTTTTGAGCTGGGTAAGGCCCGTGCCCAACCCATCTTCTAAGTACTTCCGCCCCTAAATCAATATCAATAATAATGTAACACTCATGAAAAACAAATTACATACAAATTTATGCAGATTCTTTTTTTCTTTTTTTGAAACAGATGATAGTATTAATAATAAGGCCTATACACTAATGTATAAGAAATTCACATCCAAATTTATGTAGATTGGATTAAATAAGAAAGGACACTAATAAATTTATAATTCGAAATTTAATAAGAGTGATAATTAAAATGAGATTAAAAAAATAGTATTTCTTTAGTTAACAATCAGAATCCTTTTATATTATTATATATATCTTGAGATTAATTTATCCCTTATTAAGTTAAAGGCAGCAGGTCCATCTAGCACGTCTACCCTCCATACTCTTCACCATTTTTATTATTCTTCCTCACATCACCTGCTGATAAAAGGCACCAAACCAAACACGAAATTCCATCATTTCCCCCACAAAACAGCCCCCCCTTCTGGTTTCTCCCTTAACCCATCCTTTCTTTGAGTTGATTCTCTCATGGCGTAAATTGCAAAAATCAAAAGTGGCAATGGTTTCAGTACTGACACGAAAAGTCTTGTTTGGTTTAATGGTCACTCGGATATTGGGCTGGGATGGGCTCTTATTCCAACCCAATATCTAAGTGAAAATGGGCTTCTAAAAGTTTTGTTTTGATGGTCCCCTTAATTAATACCCAATGGTAAGGTTTGTCATCAGGCCCATAAGGTCGAAACAAAATTTTTTGCTGAATTCGTTCTTTTAATGTTTTTTTTTTTTTT